ATCCGGTGTGGGCGTTAGAGCATTGAGAGGACCTTTCCCTAGTACGAGAGGACCGGGAAGGACGCACCTCTGGTGTACCTGTCGTCGTCACCAACGGCGCAGCCGAGGGTAGCTAATATACGGACGGGATAACTGCTGAAAGCATCTAAGCGGGAAGCCTCCTCAAGATAAGATTTCTCCAGGACGGTCGAAGACCACGACCTTGATAGATCGGATGTGGAAGTGCGGTAACGCATGGAGCTAACCGATACTAATTGTCCTATTCGCGGCTCCACCCCCACCATCAGCCACAGGCTAGATGGCAAAAAAGGGTCCAGCAAATCCAGCCAGTGCACGCATCGATTTTAAACCCAAACCCCGCCCCCACAAGCCACGTATCTCGCAGACTCTATTGCTGGTGGCCATAGCTCGGTGTCCCACCGATCCATCCCGAACTCAGCCCGTGAAAACCCGTGCGCCAATGGTACTACTGCTCAAGCAGTGGAAAATAGGGCGTCGCCGGGCATTACAGTCTGCGAAAATACAAAACCCATTCCTTGTCCTTGCCCTATACCCAGTGTCGCGGGGTGGAGCAGCCCAGTAGCTCGTCAGGCTCATAACCTGAAGGCCGCAGGTTCAAATCCTGCCCCCCGCAACCAACTCAACAACAAGCAAACCGTCTCAGGATCTCCCGAGACGGCTTTTTTCTGCTTTTTCCAGCAAGTTAACCCTCGTTCAGGGGCCTCTCGCCTCCCAGTCGACTTCTCTGAATGCCGGGACGTCGATTTGCCCATGGGGGTATCTGTCGTTGCCCCCAATTTTACTGACGAGGCCTCGCTGCGGGTTTGGGTGATGTACTCGCGGGGTGATCGGTAGCCTAGCGCCTTGTGCGGATGGACCTCATTGTAGGGGTTAGCCAGCGGGGCAGCTGCTCGATGACAGTGCGTGCATCGGGCGCCGGTTTACACGGACGTAGTCGCGCGGTGAGCGCGCACGAAAGCTTCGGCCATGCCGTTCGATTGCGGAGAGCTGACCGGCGTGGTGCGGGGTACGAGGCCGATGTCGCGCGCGAAGCGGCGAGTATCGTGAGCAAACGTAAGGGCTGCCGTTATCGCTGAGCCATTCAATGGGCGAGGCCAGAAGCGGTTCACCGGGCCAAAGCGATGCTCGACAGTGGCGACCATCAGATCCACGGATGTCCTCGGCGGTGATGCCGCCGGTGGTATAACGTGCCCCATGGCCTCGCGGCGGTCACAGCAGGGCGAGCGCAAAGGCGACGCGCACCTTTTCGCCATTGTCGCAAGCGATCTCAAGGCGTCAGAGCACCCAGCAGGTGTTGCGCCGATCGGCACAACGCGACCATCATGGCGCCGCTCCTCCCGGCTGCCGTTGTGGCGCTGGAAGCAGCAGCCCGTGCACCTTCATGACCCGGTAGACCCGCTTGATTGGGCGCTGTGCGCCCGATCCGCAGCAGGCACGGCGCAGAAGGGCGTGAACCCGGCGATAACCGTAGGTGGGCAGATCGGCGATCAGCGCCCGGATGTCGCTGACCAAGTCGGTATCCGGTAGAGGCGGTCGACCTCGCCGACGTGTAGGCGACCGGTTGTACATGGCTGACAGGTGCTGGCGGCTGACGCCCAACGCCTCGGCCACCGCGCTCACCGGTCGTCCCACGCAACGAGATCGAGCGGAGGAGTTTTGGGCCTGCGGCGGGGAGACGGCCTCCCGCAGTATCTCGGCTTCATAGTCTTCTTGCCCAGCAGGCTGCAGCTCGGCGACCTGGTTCTGCAGCGACCGGTACTCAGGCGGGCACCACCTCTCGCCGGCACCGGCGGCAGTCAGCGCACCCTGCGCAACTAGCCTGCGCCAGTGAAGATCTGGCTGCCACTGATGCCATGCTGCCGGGCTACCAGCGACACGTTCATGCCCGGCAGATACGTCTCCTCGACGATCCGACCTTTTCCTCCGGGTCCAGCCCCGGCGCTGAACCCCGGTGGGACCTCCGCCGCCATTGTAGCGCCCTGTCGTATGCTTCAGTCATATGGCTCCTCTTATCTAAGAGCGAGACCCTGTCAGGTCATTTCGGGGCCAACTCGCATCTTTCGTGAGTATCATTCCGGCCTCGGCATGAGATACCCCCATGGCCCTCAAAGAGCTCCAAATCCGCTACGCGCCTTTTTAAGCCCATGTACATGCATGGTGATGATTGTGCGCTCCATCGTTCCGGAATGGCCCTTCCCATGGCAGCGTCCTGTAGAACAATGCCGGCTGTCGGAACCGCCGCCCTGAATAGGTAGGCCGACGTCGATCGGGCGTGCAGGTTATCGTATGTCATTCGTCCCAACTCTTGATGGATCGGCGATGATGCCCTGAAAGCGCTGGTTCGTGGCAGACGTGCTTCCGCTGGAGCGCGACCTGAGCGCTATCTCGCGCGGCATTGTCGAGCGCGGGACGATGATCGACCTTCGGCAGGAGGTGTACGAACATGCCGTTGCGGCCGCGCGAAAGGGGCTTCCGCTCAATACGCGCCCCTTTCGTGCTGACAGTCGCGCGCAATCTGCTCATCCGATCGGGCGCGGCGCGGCGCGAAAGAGGTCGTCTCGTTCGAAACAGATGGCGGACCTCATTGAATTGAACTCAACCGATCTGGCCGAGGGGCGGATCGCGCTGACCGCGCGCGACGAACTCCGCCGGGCTATGGCCGGGGCTTTCGACCAGCTGCCCCCCGCGTTGTCGGGAGGTCGTACGGCTGCGACGAGTCGAGGGGCTGAATATCCGGGAAACCGCCGCCTGCCTGCGTCGCCATCCACCGTCGAGCGCCAACTGACGCTCGGCCTTCGGCGTTGGCCAACTTCATGCTCGGCGGCAATGCGCATCGAACGCAAGCCCGGCTGGCCCCGCGACGGAAGCCGGACGCCGCATGACCGGCCGGAACGGGATCGAGGAGCGCGCCGCCGCCTGCTGGTACGCCGCGATCAGCCCGAATGGAGCGCGGCGGACGCGCAGGCGCTTGAGTACTGGCTGGCGGAGAGCGATGCGCAAAGGTCGCCCTGTGGCGGCTCGAAGCGGGCTGGGATGCTACCGCGCGGCTCGCCGCGACGCGAGTGCAGTCGCCGAACGACCGCCGCTGTACCGGGCTTTTCGGGAGCCGCCTGCTGCAGGCCTGGCGGCAGCCCACCTGATCCTGTTATGTCTGTTCGCCGCATCGACCCTTCCCGGATGGGTGCTAGCGACCGCCAGCGCCGCTCCGCCGGTTCGCGACCACCGTCGGCGCGAACATCGCGCGGTGCGCCTGCCCGATGGCAGCGCGGTGACGCTCAATGGCGAGTATGATGCGGACGGCGGTCGACCGTGCCAACGTGCCGTCTGGCTGGATCGCGGCAAGCCTATTTCAAACGTGGCCCACGACACGAACCATCCTTCGTCATTCATGCAGGGGACCGGGTGGTGACGGTGCAGGCACCCGCTTTTTCGGTACGACGATGGCGGATGGTCACCGTCGCCGTCGTCGAAGGCCGCGTGCGGGTGGAGGATGCCGGTGGCGCGGGGCGGGCGGCCGTCATCACCGCCGGCAATGTCGCCATTTTCGCGGGCACGTCGATGCTGCTGACCCGACCGGTCGCCCGCGCGGGTGGAGGCGGCGCGCTGTCGTGGCGGCGGGGGCTGCTGACCTTCGACCGGACGACGCTGGGCGGGGCCGCGGCCGAGTTCAACCGCTATAATCGCCGGCAAATCCAGATCGCCGATGCTCGCACCGCGCAGATCCGGATCAGCGGCACATTCGAGGCCACGGACATCGATGCGTTCGCACGGCTGCTGCGCGCGCGACTTCGACTGACGGTGCGCGAAAACGCGCGGATGCGATCACGATAAATTCCTGATCGGTTGCGCGTTACGACTTCCGCGTACCGTCCGTCTAGCATTGCAGAAGGCCCAAAGAGGCCGTGCAGTATCGGAGGGGGAATATGGCCGAAAGCACGGTTCCCTGATTGCAGCGGCGCTGGTAGTACCTGCGCGGCAACGCCTTCGTGGTCGCAGTCCGGGACAGAAACCGTGAACTGCGTCCGCACCTACAGCATCGCGCCCGGATCGATGCGGGCGCGCTCGATGCACGGTCGCGCCAGACTGGCGCCGGTTCTCTATCGCAGCGACGAAGTCGATGTTGCACTTCCAGCGGCGTGCGGGGGCAAGCTGAACGCGATGGCGGCATGCAGGCGGTCGTGGGCGACCGGGCCTCATCCTGCATCACGATCGCAGCGGCGCAGTCGCCGTGACGCGGATGCCGGCCGCCGATCGCACGGCGGCGATCGCTCCTGTCGCGGAACCGGCAGCAGCGCCTGCGCAGGAGGACGACAGCATCGGTGATATCGTCGTGACCGCGCGCCGTGGCTGGCCGAACGCGGCCAGCGGGTCCCGGTGGCCATCACCGCCTCGCAAGATGCCATCCGCGAGAAAGGCATCAACAACGGAACCGATCTTCAGAATTTCACGCCGTCTTTTGTCCGTGGTCGGCGACGTCGCGCGCAATCAGAAACCTATACCATCCGCGGCATGGGCGGGACCGGCGGTCAGGTACGGCAGCAGTCCGGGCGTGGTCGGCTATTTCCTGCCGAAGTTCCACTCAGCGTCAGCGGTCCGGCACTTTACGACCTCGCGTCGTTGCGGGGTCCCTCGCGGGCCGCAGGGAACGCTGTCGGGCGAAATACGACCGGCGGTGCCGTCTTGTTGGAGCCGCAACGGCCGCGGATGAACCGCGTCGAGGGCTATGTCGACGGGACGATCGGCAATTTCCAGCGCAAGTGTGCAGGGTGCGCTGAACGTGCCGATCGTCGACGATGTGGAGGCAGTCCGCTTCGCCGGTCAGCTAGACAAAGCGCGAGGGCTGTAGTCCGCGACGTCCTTACCGGGCGTGACCATCTGAAACTGCAACAATTTCAGCCTGCGGCTGGGCATCCAGTTCGATCCGACCGCGACGATCAGCAACTATGCCGCCGTCAGCTATCAGGAAGTGGACGAGCATG